ACAACTGGTTCTTAGAACAGCTTGATGTTAACACAACATTTTTACATGTTGATCTCAATGAAGAGGTTTATATGGCCTTACCTCCTGGTCTCCAAGTGGATCCTGCTGAGAAACACAAAGTTTGCAAACTAACCAAGTCTTTGTATGGCCTCAAACAGGCCAGTCGCCAGTGGTTTGCAAAGTTAGCTTCTACTCTTGAAGATTTAGGTTACCAGAAATCAAATTGTGATTCATTATTCACAAGACATCATAATACACATTTCACTGCTCTCCTCGTCTATGTAGATGACATTATCCTCACTGAAAACTGTCTATCTGAGATTCAAAGGGTCAAACAACATTTGGATGACAAATTTACAATTAAAGATCTTGGCCAGCTAAAATACTTCCTTGGCATGGAAGTGTCTAGATCTGATTCTGGTATTCATCTTTGTCAAAGAAAATATACCTTGGATCTCCTTTCTGACACTGGTTTTCTAGGATCCAAGCCAGCTGCAACTCCTTCTATCCCAGCAACTTATTTGTCCAGCACAGATGGTGAACCCCTTGATGCTGCTGCTCATAGCAGTTACAGAACCTTAATAGGTAGATTACAGTACCTCTGTAACACCAGGCCTGATATTTGCTACACTGTGAATCAATTGAGCCAGTTTATAGATGCTCGTACTACAAGCCACGAATCAACAACTCATAGACTACTAAGATACTTGAAAACCAACCCTGCTAAAGGCCTTTTCTTTCCCTCCAACTCTAGCATTAAGTTAACTGCTTATTCAGATTCTGACTGGGAAGGGTGCCCTGATACACGTAGGTCTGTGACTGGTTTCTTTGTTTTCTAGGATCATCTCTCGTCAGCTAGAGGTCAAAGAAACAACAGGCTGTCTCTAGGTCCTCAGCAGAAGCAGAGTATAGAGCGCTTGGTGACACTTCCCAGAAGCTTTAGTGGATGACTTACCTTTTCCAACAACTTCCAGTACAGCCCCAACAGCCATATTTCATCTCTGTGATAGCTTGTATGCTGTGAAGATGACTGAGAATCCGATCCAACATGAAAGGACCAAGCATATTGAAGTGGACTATCATTTTACACTAAACCATGTCCTCGCCAATAAGCTTAAAGTCCAGCATATCTCCACCAAGTTACAGCTAGCAGACCCCTTCACCAAAGCCCTACATGTCCATACATTCGTTGATCTCATCTCCAAGCTCAACATGAAGTCCATACATGTTTAGCTTGCGGGGGGTATTAGAATATAGATACTGAATGTAATTCGTAAATAGTTAGAGGATCAACAAGTAAATAGGAATAAGTTAGTTATGAGTTAGTTAGTAGGATTAGTCTATATAAGCTGTAAATCTATGATCTTTTGTTAACTTTTTCCATTCAATCAATCGTGAATTCATTCTCAATCCGAAACTCTAGCAGTTTCTCTTGCTAATCAATATTCCTTTTCAAGTCAGTGAATTTATTATTGTTTCTCTTTTTTGTTTGTGCTACTTACCCTCTCCCTCGTCCCTCATCTCCGACTCTTTGGGGCCTCCTCCCTCTCAGTTGCTATTCCTGAAGTATACCTTGTGTGATCTTGAAAGATGATTTTTGAGGTGGTAGTCCTTCAATTTCGTCAAGGTATGGTAGTAGATTTGCTAGGATGACCTCCTCCTTCCGGACCTAGTCTCTTTTCGATAATAGTTTTCAGGGAGGCGCCGCGAGCTCCAAACTAGGTTGCCAATAAAGTTGGCAGAGAAAGCGTAATTGATGTCTCCTCTATAAATAGCTTTCTTTATTTTTTTATGGTGGATTTACTAGTATGTTGTATTGAGAGGCTTTGTTAGGTTAAGGCCTTAAGGGTGGGTTACTTTTGTTTTAATTTTCTCTCTTGTTATGTCTAAGGCTGGGAAATGGTGCGGTCTGGTCCGGATCAGACCATATAGATGATCTATGGTCCAGACCGAGAGACTAAAGTATAGACCAGAGACCATACCACATACTATACAGTCCAGACCAGACCACGTCTATTCGATCTGGTCCGGTACGGTCTGGTCCAGACAGATCACAATGAACAAAAAATGAATACTTTGTTAAGTCAACCACACTAAAAATTGAACCAATAACTAAGGGAAAAAATTATTTTTTTGCCTTAAAACATAAAATCCAACATGCATGAATAATTTTAACTCCCTAAATCTTAGTAAATAACAAAGATACAAAGTTAAAGAATCCCAACTCGCGCCATAACGTAACAAACATTAACATAATGTCATATAGTGACACGATCGTCTCTATTCTCTAGTAAAATGTGGTTGTCGGTGAAGGAGGGAGCGAGATTCTCAAAATTAAGGTTGAGACATGTGTCTTGTTGGGGGGAGTTGGGAGAGTAGTCGAATGGGATACTAACATGTATTGAGAAGTCGGGTAGATCCACGGTTAGGTCCGGTAAACCACAGTCTAGACCAGACCAAGAGATCAAAACTTCATATAATACAAATCATGAACTAGACCAGACCAACTCTGGTCTATTTTCTCAATCTAGTTATGTCTTGAGAAAGCAATATTGAAACAAATTGATAAACTTAGGGCCTGTTTAGTATCATTTTGTTGTTGTGGTTGCAGTGGTGTTGTGTAAACAGATGTACAACCACAACAGGAAAAAAACAGAAAACACAAACATGTTTAGTTGATAAATCTGAAAAATCATGAAAGCTGAAAACAAGAAACAAAAACGCGTTTAGTTACTACAAAAACGCGGGTCGGCGGGCTGGGCTGGCTGCGCGGCGGAGGGGTCGAGCTGCGCGGCGGGCTGGGTCAGCGCGGAGGCGGAGGGGTCGGGCGCGGAGGCAGAGGGGTCGGCAAGCGGACGTCGGCTGCGGGTCGGCGGGCTGGGCTGGCTGCGCGGCGGGCTGGATCGGCGCGGAGGTGGAGGGGTCGGGCGCGGAGGCGGAGGGGTCGGCGACTGAGGAGGTGGCGGGCGGCGCGGCGGAGGTGAGGCGGAGGTGGCGGCTGACGCCTCTATTGAGAAGGTTTTAGGGGGAGAATAGTTTGGGGGGCGGTGACTGATATGTTAGAAGTAGGATTTGGGGGGTGGCGGTTGTGTTAAAAAAAAATTTGCTTCTGTGGGGATTCGAAAACTGGTCTGGTTTAATGAAATCAAGTGCCCAACCAGTAGGAATCCCATGTGCAACATCTTTTAAAATCAGATCCAAAGAAATAAATTGTTGTTTCTCATATTTGGGCCTTGTTGTGCAACTCTGATTCACAACAGAAAATAGAAACCCAACTAAACATGTTTTTTTTTCTTGATTTCTCCAATCTTTAAAAACACAATAGGAAACAAAAACATGCAACAATACTAAACGGGGTCTTAGTATTTAGTAACCAAATTGGGTTACGATCTGACTATTGAAATTCCCCATAAATTAATAATGCAGGCCGGTTTGTGTCACATGCTACGTTCTGGGCCAACCTGCATTGTGGCCTACATGACATAACTAGCTAGTTGGATTACTCGAGGGCCCTTACGTTCGAGCCCATTTAAGTTTATTGATGAGAAATGAGAATAGATTGGGTTAAATATCAATCTAGTCACTGTATTCTTGTACATGTGTTCAATTGGACTTAGAAGTTTGAACGCATTTTTGAAAGCAACTGAAGCAGCAAATTGAACGAAAAACTTTTGACTTCTTAGTGTGATAGAAATCAGTAACATCCTTCAAGATTGGATGACACAAGTATTAAATAGGTATTTAGTGGGTATGTTATACACCTTTAGTACTTACTCGTATTCGTTTCTTTGGTTCTATCAACGATATCAACTAATAGTTAGGACTTTGAACAATTGTTGGATGACCATCTGGCCTATGATTGTGGCTTTTGGTTGGCTGGCAACATTCTCCATTGGCATTATGTTTGGTGGCTTACAAATAATTCATTATACTCAGCATAATAAGCTATGAGTGTTGAATCTTTCCTTATCTATGTGTGATATTTATGGTTTTCGTGTCTCCTTGTTTACCTTAAAGTAGTGTGAAAAAATCAAGTATTGAAATACCGTACTGGAGGTCGTACCGGAAAATTCAGTTGTAGGTTTTTTTTTTATTAAAACTGTGGTTTAACCATGGTTCAGCTGATACCGCTAAATACCGCCTACTGATTTTGCTTCCAATAGAAGGTTTTTCAGATCGAACCATCGGTACAGTATGATATTTTAATCCTTGAAAAAAAACCTTCATATGAGAGGAAGAATCTAGTTTCATATCTTTTTTGCAAGTAAATAAAAATGAAAACTAAAAATAAAATATATCAACCCATCATTGTGCATTAGATGTACCAAACTATAAGCATTGGAATTATTTTCTGTTAATATCTTGGTATTTATAATTTAAAACTTACATTTTCACATCTTTTGCCAAGCTCATACACTTCAAATATCAAAATTGAGGGAGTCAAATATGGGTATTGGGATTTTGGGAGCTAAATTTGACTGGATTTTGGGAAGAAAGCAATTTATGATTGGGCAAAAGTGGTTACTTGACCCACGTTTGTCACTCCCATGTAGCATGCAAACCTCCTTTTTTTTCCTTCTTCTTCCTCATTTGTGATTGGTTGTTGCTTTGTTGGTGTGATTTAAATTTTAATGGAATTATTTACGTAGTGACGAAACAACAGTCACTTTGCAACGATCATATATTAACAGCCATAAAAAACGGTCTTGAAATACAATCACACTTAAACTTGAAGAACAAACAACCAAGCAACATGAAGTAAAATTAATATTGAAACATGCAATAAAATCTACAAGCAAAAAAGATGGCCTTAAAGTAACGACTACAAGAAAATGGTCATTTTTGGAGTGGTCCCGAAGTTAACGTTAACAAATTAGCGACTAATTAAAAAAAAAACTCAAAATTTAAAAAAAGTTACATCGAAAATTTTGTTTTCAAAAGTAATAACGAATTATTAAAAATTAAAGTGAAATATAAAAACTAAAGGTCAAATAAGTATGGTTTATTGAAATAAATTGAAATAAATGAAGGTGGAAAGCTAAATTTAGCTTTTTGTAGTGTTGGAGTGAAAATGAGATTTGAAGAGCTAAAAAACAATATTTAACTATTTGGGGAGTCAAATTTGACTTTGTGGGTTGGAGACTTGGAGTTAGCCTTAGTCTTTCTCCAAAAGTACACCATTGATCATTATATTCAATTATTAGTTACACCCCTAAAGTTTTCACTTTACTCAAATCAACCCTCCAAAAACATAGTCCTTCACATTTTACCATTTCCCCCTCTAATAAAAACTTATATACCACAACGAGAGCGAACCTTTTCACCTGATCTCTTCCCCAGTGTCGCAACCTAACGCCGTTCTCCTCCTCCTTCCCTAATCTCCACCGCCGACGACCACCAGGCCAAACGATGTTCCGTCAGGCGAGCCGTCTTCTGTCCCGATCGATCGCTCACCAACAGCCCACCAAGACGCAGGTCGCCGCTCGCGCTTTCTCCACCGATGTTTCGGCCACGCCAACAGAGGATTCGCCTTTCGCCCAATCTTGGAAGAAGGTGATCCCCCATATTGATGCACCCAAGACTCCGTCCTCGTACATGAAGACTCGCCCGCCCACGGCCTCCGCCATTCCGACTAAGCTGACCGTCAACTTCGTCCTTCCCTACGCTTCCCAGCTCTCCGAGAAAGAGGTTAGAATTTTATCGATTCGATTTTCTTTCCCAGATCCAGTTGCAGTGTGATCTTTTCGGGGGTTTCTCACCTGGGTTTGATTCGGTTTGTTGCATTTCGTGGGTGTTTGTTTGATTGTCCGTCAATGCATTTTGTTTTGATTGATGTATGAAATTAGGGTTTTCTGTTTTCGTATATGCCAGATACGAAGTGCTGTAAATTATTGATTAGGTTATGCGAATCGAGGGTGATTCGTTAGGGGTCTGGAGTTCGGCCGTTTCTTAACTGCATACAATGCTGCAAATTGCTTGTGAGTTGTGATTGGCAGTTCTCGAGGGTTCTAGTTAATTTAGTTTTAGTTTAGTCAAGAAACATTCTTGCGAGTTTTTTTACCTCTCCTTTCCCATTTTCTGTTTGACTTCTGTCAATTCAATCATAATTGCAGCTGGGCTTGAGCTTGAATTGGCATCCATAGCTTAGAGTTTGCATTGATAGAAGCCGGTCTTGCAAAGTTAGTGCAAAATGCTTTTTCAGTTGTGAAAATGTGCTCCACCTTCCTTCTTGAATCATGGACCTGGTGTGAACAAACGATAGATCATTTGAGGATGTTCAATGAACATTTTGGTCTTTTGAAATTGGATATGTAACAATGGCAACTGACAATGGTGTTGTGACTTGGGAGCAATCTGAGTCTTTTGAAATCGGATAAGTAACAATGGCAACTGACAATGGTACTGGGAGCAATCTGAGTCTTTAATTTAGACTGCTAAAAAGTCAGTACTTTTCTCGTTTCAAGTCTTTCATGGAAGTTCATAAATAAGGGGGGGAACATCTCCCCCCCCCCCCCCCCCCCCCCCCCCTTCTTAGAGTAGTTTTTATCCACTCTAAATACGTGGATGGTTTGAGAATTGTAATTTCCACTGCTTCATTCCCATAGCTTTTCTAAACTATGATTGTAAGCTTTCATCCATAGATCCAATGGATACATAATGCTTCTGCTCCATTGGCTTAGCTTTTTCTTTCCATCAGATATTCTGAACTATGGTTGCATAATATTTGTCTGAACGTTTATTAGGTTGACATGATCATCGTTCCAGCAACGACGGGGCAAATGGGTGTCTTGCCTGGCCATGTCCCCACCATTGCGGAGCTAAAACCTGGGGTTATGACCGTGCACGAAGGCACCGATGTTTCAAAGTACTTTGTCAGCAGCGGGTTTGCATTCATCCATGCGAACTCAGTTGCTGATGTGATTGCAGTCGAGGCTGTACCTGTTGATCACCTTGACTCGAACTTGGTCCAGAAGGGGTTAGCAGAGTTCACTCAGAAGCTTGGTTCTGCTTCGACTGACCTGGAGAAAGCCGAGGCGCAGATTGGAGTGGATGTCTACAGTGCAATGAACTCGGCTCTCACGGGTTAATGGGCTCCGAACCCCATAAGCATGCTCTGTTTCTCATTCCGTTTCTTTTTGTTTCCCCATTGTGGTATCAACATTGCCTTACTGTTTGAAGTCTCTTCGTTAGCGACGAGAACGAAAATCATGTTTTGAGATGGTTTCCAGAGTCTAAATAAAAGGAGTATAAAAGACCACCTTTGAGATGCTGGAAACTTGGGAATGTTCCATCTCATTTTTATTTTGCATCTGGCCCATCATATATTACAAACTTAGTTTCGTTATCACCCATGTTTCTATTTTGTGTTTTATTGTCCTCGATTCATAGCCAATTGCTCTTTTCCTTGTGTTCATCATTCTGCACCAACTCGAGTTTGAGGTTCACATCTTACCGTACGCCATATATCGTTTTGGATTCAAGTTGTTATCTTTCTGAGATGGAACGAGTTGTCCTTTCTAAAAGACGTCAATATACTATAGATTACAACGATACATGTCCAAGTCCAACAATACAGTATAGTATCAGGAGAAAGCAATACACATTACACAGCAAATTGTTGGGAGTAAGAGTGTGTGTGGCCGCCGGCCGCAACATCATTAGCAAGGGTTTCACATATACACAGCTTAAACCTGTACTGTCTGCACATCTCGACAAGAACCATTTGATAAGAGGGTTATCTTCTGGCATCAGCTATTCTCTTCACACCTTCTTCTCTCTTTGTCCCTCTTTTTATGCCAGCGAAGGAGTCTTCTCGCCTGCTTAAAGTTGGATCCCTGTGATTGCTGGCAAGCTGCAGAAGCCAGTGTGTTTGATCGTGGGTAGCAATGACAACAGCAGTAGCGATGCTAGAATCATGTCCGTATTGTATTGGAGGAGTATAAATTATCTTCTATTGACGTCATAATCTAGAGTGTTGTCTCCACGGACAGCCACCTTCAAACGCATGTTCCAGCACGTCTTCCATTCTCTTTGCCAGCAGAATCTGTAAACGACGACATGTATGATCAAGCTCTAGTGTGGGGAAATTCAAAAGTGTAAACAAGTGACTAAATCGACATTCGGATCAAATCAGGCCATAACTGAATTTAATCTTGTATGGTTTTGGTCCTCAAATTAAAGATTCTTCTTTTTTGGCTTCAAATTCGTGGTCAGTCTTTAAAATAAGGAGCAGAGAAACAAACAACCAGGCCAAGTTGGAATGACATGCATTTTCAATTCGATTATGGGTCCTTAAGTGTAATTTATTTGTCATGTAATCATATCCCCATCCAGTTAGATTCTGCACCAGCCGGTCGATCGGAGTACTTCACAAACCAACCGAAAGAGACCAGACTATGGCCACCTCAGCATGGAGGGAAAATGCTGAAGAAGTTAACGTGCACTTACCTCTACACTGCTGAGAACAGCAGCTGGTACTTCAGCCAAGTCCTTCAAGTTTCTCTCTGGGAGGATCACTCTCTTGATGCCGTAGCGGTGAGCAGCCAAAATCTGCAATTGCAACAGCAAACTTCAGTGGTTAAACATTCCAACTCCATTTAGTTCTAGACCATCCAAATCCCTTCCTTCCACAACCAGACCAATAGCTAATCAGGGTCTACAAAACTTTCATTGAACATCAAAATTTCACGACCATTCAGTAGTATCCAAGTATCAGCCAACAATACTTTCTCGGATCATTTTGGAGAAATACTATACCTTGTCCTTAATGCCGCCGACAGGAAGGACAAGGCCCCTCAAAGTCATTTCTCCGGTCATTGCTGTATCTGCTCTTACTCTCTGCTGACTGAACAAAGAAACCAGAGCAGTCACGAGTGTTACACCTGCTGAAGGACCATCCTTGGGTACAGCTCCTGCTGGGAAATGTATGTGAACGTCCCTGCCTTCGAGGAGACTATTGTCTTGAGCAGCTGTCAGCTTAAGGTCAGTTGCCCTTGCTCGCACCTATGAGATACAGGGTACACATGTAAAGCTAAATACGAAGATAGTTCCAGTACTCGGCCAAAAAGAAGGATTTGCATAATTCCAAGCACCCACATGTGAGGAACAGGAAACTTCAAATAGGAAATGGGGTTAGAAATCTAAAAACATATATTACCCAGGTCAGTGCTATCTGTGCGGATTCCTTTATAACATCACCAAGCTGGCCAGTGAGATGCAATTCACCCTTCCCAGCCATTGCTGTGGCCTCCACAAACTGCACCTCCCCACCAAAGGCAGTCCAAACAAGCCCAACCACAATACCTGGGCTAGCAACACGTTCTGCAGCCTCTTTGTCATCGAATCGTGGAGGCTGCATTACATGTAAAATGAACATGTTCATCACAGGAATAACAGCTAAGACCAACTAACGAACTTTTTTCTTTCTATTATATTACTAAAGAGTATCTAGACCATTGTAATAGGTGCTAGCAAGCTCAAAAAGGTCGCCAGTGACGGAAACGATAGCACTTCAAGAAGATTAAATATTTTTACTGTCTTTCTGTTTATGACTTAAGTTGAACTAGAAACCCATATAGCAGTTAGTAGGTAAAGCTTGCAGTAACATTGGTAGTCATTTGTCGATGAAGTAACCATTAGGACCAGTACTCCAATAATAAAGGTAAGCCTTGCTATGCAATGACAAAGGTAAGCCCAATCATACTAAAGTCAAAAGCAGTGGTGGTAAAGTGCACAGAACCAAAAAACTACAATCATAATCAAGTAAAAAGGAATAATTGGTGGTATTATTTACCCCCAAAACTTTCTCCAGCATGGCCTCATCCACAACCAAGGAAGCAACTCTGTAACTGTTGGATATTTCATGAGTGTTTTCACCAATTGGGATGACTTCCATTTCCATTTCACCTCCCTCTGCAAGTCTGTTCTCTAATAATGGTGTGGCAAGCCGATGAACATCCTTGCTCAAAGGGACAGTTTGGTCTTGCTCTGCAAGTTTCACAGCTGCTGCACGAGCCAAGGCAGCCAGGTGCCTCTCTAGGTTCCGAACACCAGCCTCCCTAGTGTACCTCTGAATCACAAGCTTGACCACATCCTGCCACGTCGGGAGAAGAAAAAGGCTATTTAGTAAAAGTATCAAAACCATGTTTAGTTCTTTTCGGCTTTTCGCTTCTCTTCCACTCCCAAGCACAGGGCCCACTAAGGTCGAATTATGAGTGGTAAAGAGCAATATGCTAATAGTTTCACTACCTCTGGAATTTGAAGGAAGTCAGAGCTCAATCCATGTTGATCCAACACGCGAGGTATCAAATGCCGCATGGCTATTTTGAGCTTTTCCTCAGGAGTGTAACCAGGAAGCTCAATAACTTCCATACGGTCTAGCAGTGGAGGAGGAATAGGCTGTGCCCGATTTGCAGTTGCGACGAAAATCACCTTGGATAGGTCAAAAGGAACATTCAAATAGCTGTAGAACTTCGGTTAAGGTTCACTGGAGTAATGGAACAAAAACACAGCATGTTCAAATATAATTTTAATATTGAAATTTATAATATTTCTCAGTTCTGAGAGTTGTCTCTTACCATGACAAGGACACTCAAAACATCAGAATGAATAAGTTGTTAAAACAGTTCGGAGCTGAAAAGAGAAATTAATAACTGAAGAAACAAAAGAAAAGGATACTGATCATTGAATGTCCCATTCTGTTCAGGATCAAGAACCTCAAGCAGAGCTGAGGCAGGATCACCACGAACATCAGAGCCAGTCTTGTCAATCTCATCCAGCAGCATGACCGGATTGCAAACACCGACTCTCTAAAATCCAAAATATAACTTGATCAATGGTCTATTTCAATTTGAAGTATAAAGACACTACATAAGAATGATATCCAAGATAAAGTGGAAAAAGAAAACAAATGGGACTATGCAAGGAGTCCAGTCTAGGTTTGTCCAGGAACATGTTTACTACCTTTAAGCCATCGATGAGACGCCCTGGCATGCTCCCAATGTATGTTCTCCTGTGTCCTCTAATATCAGCCTCATCCTTAACACCGCCAAGAGAAATGCGTATGAATTTTCTACCCAAGGCAGCAGCAATAGATGATGCCAAAGATGTTTTCCCAACACCTGGCGGGCCCACGAAACACAATACTGGGCCTCTTGCATCTGGTTTGAGCTGCAAGACAATTCATAACAGAAACAAATATATAAACAGGATGACCAACACACTGCACACATACACAAAAAGAAACATCTAAGGCACTAGTTAACGGGGTGATTATCAAACCTTTCGCACAGCCAGATATTCAATGATCCGTTGCTTGACCTTGACAAGACCATAGTGGTCATTATCAAGACGTTCTTTTGCAGCTTTTAAGTCAAATTCAGATTCTTCACTTGCTTTCTGCCAGGGAAGCTCAGCAAGAAGCTCCAAATAAACACGTGAGCTGTTATATCCAGGTTGCTGAGGTTGCATCTTCTTGAGCCGCCTGAAGTTTGAGTACAAGTACAGCAGATTTCAACAGAATCAACAGATCAATAATTCTTCAACATAGCATTGAAATTCCACAAAAGGATCCGCCTTTTCTAAAAGTTGTTCATATGGTATCTAAAAGACTGAACACTAGAGTTCACTTCTTTTTGTGAGAAAGATGTTAAACTGTCCATCAGAAGATTAGCAAATGGTCAAAGGAAAATTCACCTCAATTCTCTCTGGGCATGTTTCCAGATATTTGAAGGCATTCCTGCAGCCTGCATCTTCCTTTCCAATGCAGCAACATCATCCTCATCATCATCATTATCTCCGAGCTCTTCTTTTATAGCCCGCATCTAAAGTAAGGTTTTCATGAAACACCAAACAACTCAACACTGATGTACACTATAAACTAATATAGCCAGCATATAAATAACCCATAAACATGGATCATCCAGATGCTCAATGCCATAAATATCATTTACTTGATGACGTAGTAGAATGCTATAACTCAACGCTGCTGTACACTATAAACTCATATTTAACAGTTCTAAAAGAATGCTAACCTGCTGACGTAGAAGAAATTCTTTCTGTGACTTTGATAACTGTCCTTCAACCTTTTGGGTAATTTTTTCTGCTACGCGTATTGACTGTCAAGGAAAACACAAGATAGATTCCAAAATGTTAGGTGCCTCGAGAAAGCACAATCGAATCCACCAAATGTTAGCTACAACTAACTGATCACCTGTAAATGCCTGTCGACCAGCTGAGTGGCTTTCAAAATCCTTACTTTCGGATCAACTGAGTCCAACATGGATAACTGCTCTTCGAAGCTTATCTCAAAGCTAGCAACAAAAATATCTGCCAACTTGTGAACAGGAACGGTCTCCAAAAGAACTTTAGTCCTGCCCTCAGTTTTTTGTTTCTGTGAGGATAAACAAAAACATGAGTTCCCTAAATGACAGGACACCAAAGTTAATCAAAACACAGGATATGAAGACTGAAAAACTGCGAACCTAGTGCATCAGTCAACCGAAATTGGAATATAATAGATGGTACAAACATGTCTCCAGTGATAAACAGTGTGCACAGAGATGTACACAAAAGATGGAAAGACAAGCCCAACTGTGAGCTCAAAATTTTGAAAGGGTAGCAACACCAGAACTTAAAGATGGCCATAATGAAATGTCAGGTTTTCAGTTGACCATCAGCATAAATCAAGGCAGTTTACCTACGCCTGGGTTTCTATTGTTCGTCAACCAAGAGAAAGTAGGCAGCAAGAAAGATTCAGAAAACCTTATCGAGTCACTACTTTACTAATATTACCTGCTCAAGAACAGAGATAAGTTCCATAGCAGTTGCTTTGAACTGGCGAGATAGCGCAACAAAATCAGGATCTTGCTCCACTTGTTCCATCTCTAGAAGGCCAATGTTTTACAGTTAGTAATGGAAGAAATTATACAGGGTAATCATGATGCGTATATGATTTCAACCATTGTGAAAGGAAAAAATAAACCTGACGAACCTATGGCTAAAGTTCAACATGATGCTTCAAGGCTTATAACCCAGCTCTATAATTGACAGACAAAATGCAGAGCAATTGTTTTCTGTTGTTGCATTCTATGGAATCAAGGAGGATGAAGTTAAAAACGCACCAATCTTTGTCATCTCAACAGGAGATATCCTCGCAGTGTAATACATCCCCCTTTTGCTAAGTTCTTGAACACTGAATCTGCATAAACCTTCAAGCACAACTATGTAAGTCACCCTCCCGCTGGGCTTCTCCACCCCTCTTGACAAATGCAAAGCACGAGCAGCAACTCCTCTGACAAAACCGATTATCACAGCTTGAGTGAGCGAACCAATTAAGATCATGAAAACCAACAATGGGGAGGACTGTAATCCTTATAAGAAGCCAACCTATTGTGCCAACGAATGACTTCCTGCTGGTTTTTGCCATCAACTTTGAGATTATCCGAGGTACCCACTTGAGCTTTGGAGCTTCTATCACCCCCGGGTTCACTTCCAACGCCTACATTCCCAAGTCTTGAGTCAATGAATAAAACATAAAATCGCCACTACTTATCCTAAGAAAGTCCATCAGTTATGTAAACAGAAGTCAATGGCGTCCAGAAAAAAAGGAAGGAGTAAAAAGAAAGAGAGCTCTCGCAATCATTACCAACCTTGAGATAACATGGACCCTACCGAGGCCTCGGCGGCATCGGAGGCAGCGTCCTGAACTGGCAAAATGCCGATCAAACCCTTCTCCTCCCGCTGCCATAGCTCCTGTTCCACCAATTTCACACTGAAACCGAAGCAATCAAATTAAGCAAAATTCAGCAATCAATCGGAGCCTCCCCACCGATCCCTAGCTAATTCGTGCTGACAATCAGTTGCGAGCGGGACTGAAAAGAGAGTTCGCGGGGACAAAACCTGCTGGGCGAGGTGCAACGGATGCGAATGATGGCGCCAGGAAGGAGGACTTTGTTCCTGAACGGAAGGATCGCCAGCCGACTCGGGAGCTCCACCGATTCCGCCATGTTTGTGGATTTATGAGGTTTTCGGAGAAGTTACGGTAGCAGACGAGTAATCTACTGCGACGACGATACGAGAAGAGGAGGTTATATAGAGGAAATAAATTGAGAGAGAAGAAGAAGAAGAAGAATGCAAAGGGGAGAGAGAAGCCAGCAGGTGGCTGTTGGTTGGTTGGTGAAGAATTTAAGTACTTTTATCTAATAATAAGTTAGAAATTGGTACGGAATTTGATAGAAAAATGCATAATTTCATTTAAATAATTATTTTTTATATTAATTTGTGGACGTTAGAAATGATAATAAATATACTACTTGGGTTGTCGGCTTACAAATTGAAAATCTTTTTCTCTAGAGTTAGAATTTTTATTTTATTTATTTGTTAAGGGATGTAAGCGAGGAGATTGATTAAAGAGTGTGGCTATGAAAGAATTTATTAAAATAAATTATGTTTGATTTCAAATTCAAAGATAAGTTTAGTAGATATTATTGTTTGAATTTAGAAAATTGGGTAAATACAATTTAATATTTAAACCTTTCCTTTTAAACAATATAATAGTCAAACCTTTTCGAAAACAATTTAATATCCAAATCGTCAACTTTCCGTTCGTTTGACCGTTAGTTGACACTTCAAAAAGTTTTGTTTAGGGAAATTGTCACAATACAACTTTGTTTTCTTGTTTTGGCATTGCAGATAACTGAATATTTAGATATTCTATACCATTATGGTGGAGTCATGGACTTCTCGAGTTTGGAACTACGATATGTTGGTGGTTTTTCAGAGATGATATCAATGAATATTGATGAAGTGTCGTACTTCGAACTTTTTTGAAGTGTCAACTAACGGTCAAATAGACAGAAAGTTGACGATTTGGATATTAAATTGTTTTCGAAAAGTTTTGGCTATTATATTGTTTAAAATGAAAAGTTTGGATATTAAATAGTATTTACCCTAGAAAATTTAATCAATTATTCATCTTTAATTATTTAATTTCAAATTTTTTTGTTATGAAGAGGTAAGATTTACCAATTTACGATCTTTAGAGAGAACCAGTGACCGTAAATTAAAAAAAATAACGATGCCTTAATTAAATAGACAATCATAACTTCTTGTTTACCCTAAAATAAAATAGTTTCTTACAAATTAAAAGAAAACATTTTACTCATTTGAAAAAATAAATTTGCCACATTGTCGGAGCACCGATGGCGGTGGCGGATGACGGCTTTATTTGGCCACGTGGGAGGCGACGGATCACTTCTGTTTTCTGCACCTCTCTCTATTTATCCACAGCTTATATATTCCCATGTATATACGGTATTTAGTTGTGTATACGTGTATTTTATCAACTTATGTTATATTCCATATACGGTATATATTTGTGTATATGTGTATTTTATCAGCTTATCAATCGTCGTAACCTTCCCACCTCATCTTCATCCTCGTCATCCTTTTGGATTTAACATATTATATGTTTTGTTTTCAATGAAAAAGAAGAAAGAACGACAATCTTGTAGCCTGTAGAAGAAAGTCATGGAATGACTAATTTATAGATATTAGATTAATGGATTACATGTGTTTATATTTCAACTGCAAAGACCAAATTCGGGTTATGACCTTTAAAAAATTACGTAGAGTAACTACTATTTACTTATGGTATAACTCTACCAAGCTATGTGCCAAAGTGGTTTATTTCGTGCTAAGCAAATAACTAATCTCGGGAGCAATGCGACACCGTTTCCTTCATGTGGACTCTTACCACTTAGACGAAGGGCGCAACCAAATTGGAATTAAGCAGCTGATTCTTCTTGCTCGACTTCTGCAAGTGAAGTATCAATGGCTGCTTCCTGCTGCAACACTCCTTCACATGATTATTCCTCTTCTTTCAATTTGATTATGACCTAAAAATGGATCATTGCATGTCTCCCATGTTTGATCGATCACCATTACAGAGTATTAAGATTCGCCGGACATCATCTTGTCACTTGGACCACATATAGTCCTGCATGCGTCGAGTTCTCGAAGTCTTTGTTTGATTTTCCATTAGAGGAAAATAACGTCTTGTTTGACGTACCAAACATAACTAAAATATTACATGCATGAAAAGCATAAGGTGATATAATAATAATAATAGAATATGAAATCAACAACGAAAGAGGAGTGGAAGGTGCACATACATAATTAATTAGGGGGAAACTACACTATCAATATATAGCTACGTTCAATAACAAGTTGGTATAAATAACTTGAGTTTGCACAGAAAACATCTGATTACATAAGACTCTCTTCGATACCATATCAAAAATCAGTTGGTTTTAATGTATCGAGTTGTTGGAAGATGCTCAATAATAGATCTTATTCTACATACCAACAGTTACATCTTCTTACTGTTACAGATACGATGGTAGGGATAATCAGAATGAATTGAGCTAATTACACTTTCAACTCGACTCAAATCCTCAAATTTAATTTTATCTTTAGTTTTATCCGATTTATGCCGAGTCGATATTGTACTGAACTGAAATAAAACAGTAAATTTTTTTGCTTCATCATAAGTTGTACATATCCAAACCCAAATGTACCCCAACCATACAATACAAACCTGTTATTATACTGAATTAAAAAAATACGTTTGGATACATGAACAGAGAGAGAATACAATACTCTGGTCATCCGATCCATATGCCAGAGGAGTAAGAGATATGGGAGAAAGACGGGCAACCACACACCACCAAAAAACAAGTCCAGAAATTGTCTTTTTTCAAACCACCAAGCCAATTGTCAGATCAACTTCCAGATTTGCTCATATCCAATCCAATGTATAAGCAAGTTGAGATGTAAAACAAAACGCCGGTCAGCCGGAATATTATGTGAGAAAAAGAGTGGATATATGCATGTGGAAGGCGAGTCGCCTACGCGGCAGCTACGTACATGCACGTTACAATTTCCTCCGGTAGGCAAGCCCGGTCACCGGCCGGCGGCAGCGGCAGCCTTCTGTCTACCTCTCGTTATATAGACGTACAGGTTTATCTATAGATTAATCTTGTCAAACCGATTTATATTGTCGCATCGGTTTGATAAATGGTACGATCCAATCCGATCGAGGCATAAAGAGATTGTGCTTGTTAATTTTAACAAAATATGTAGGAAAAGTAGAAAACCAGTAATACCAAATAAATTGTGTGTATATATTAAACATATCTCAAGATAATATAAAACCAGTAATACCAAATAAATTTTGTGTACCACGGTACTATCATAATCCCTTTTATAATTTGTATAGAATTAGTCTTAAATCCACTTGTACAAGAATCCGTCGCAACCAAACACACACTAATTATTGGGATGTAATTAATTATATATAAACCGGTACACCTAAACTACTTCAATTAGTTCAACACTTAAACTGTTATTAATGACTATCTATAAGTAAGGGCATGTAGTACTATTGCCTAACTATTTCTCTGAACTGTTGCACTCAAATGTGTTATCGTCCTCCACAAGTTACACACGTACGTCATCAGCTCCACAAGTGACACACGTCATCAGCTGACCTAATATCCACAAGTTACGTTTTAGGCCCAATTCGTTTCTTTTCTACTGATTATTAGCAGCCACGGGTGCAAGTTAAGGGGTCACGTTTACTTATTTGCCTGCCGTTTCAAATCGAAACCTCAGTTGGCAACGACTTTTTGCAGCCGACCTCTCTGCAAATATCTCTACGTCTCTTTACAATTCACTTGATGGCGAGATGTCTTTTGTGTTCGGATCATTTAAATGATAATTTTATTAACTAATAACCTACATATTTGTTCAAACAATATACGTGTTACGATATGATGAAGAGCAAAGAGTTGAAAATACAATAAAGTAAAAAGTATGAATAAGTGAATATGTAAACTGGTACATTGGCGGATCCAGGGGTGGCCAATCCAGGCCTCGGCCCAGCCCTCCTCTGGATTCAAAGTTAGTATAGTCCTTATGAATATTTCGATTTTAGGCATTCGGTTCAATGTTATTTTATAATAAGATTGTGTATAACTAGAAAAATAATTCGTATGAACATATTCAAATAACTACTCTAAATTTAGCTTATAAATTCTAGCCCCAAAGATTTTCGTCTAAACAAAAACAACGGAACCTAAAATTCTAAAAGTCTAAAGCGTAAAAGACTAATAAAAGAAATATGAGATTTATTCCATTGAAAATTTACTAGAGCAGCTGTTGGATATAGGGATGGACACATAATGGAAATTGATTAGTCGATTGATTTTAGTGTTGCGTTGTCCGTTTCCACAGCTACTACGGCGAGAACCTTATCAACAATGAAACATGTGAAAACTGATTAGCGCAACAAAATGAGCGATGAATTACTCGCCGATTGCTCAAGTATTTTATTTGAAACAGAGCATACTATTGGTATGGATGCAAACTCCATTATTGATGCATTCGCTAAATTAAAACACCATCGTGAACAATTGACATTGTAAAAAAATATAAAATCATTATTTTTTTTACGATATCTAATTTCTAATGAAATGCGGCCCAGTGCGCTATTGTGTTCTGGATCCGCCACTGGTGACGTTGTAGTTAATCAAAACCTACCGACCGAAAGAGGGCCCAAGGCTTTGGTTATCCCGGTTTTCGGTTAACCAAATCGGCTCCCAAGATCAAAACCATCTCGCCCAGCATTCGAACACCGATCGACTTTCGATTATCCCGATTTTTTTATAAGTGAATAACCGACCGGTTTCGATTGTAACCGTCCGGTTAACCGCTAACCGAGAACCGATTGTCCAGCTCTAAATCCAACCATGGACTCTATTCATAGTTGATGACTTGTGTCAATTATTAATAGCTGGAATCAATGCATATATAACCAACCCCAATACTTATACTTAATGCTTAGTCCATCCATTAAGCAACTAATGACTTATAAATGGGTCTTGCCTAACTAACTATTCCTTTGTACCGTTGCATTATATATTTTATATATGTCATCCTACTCGAGTTACTACACAAGTCAGCAACTCCAAATGTGACACACGTCATGAAATGACCTAATACGACTATACGTCCACTCTTCTATCCACAGGTGACGTTTTTAGTCATTGGTAAGTTTTCTATAGCAGCCACGGGCGCAAATTAATGGGGGGGGGGGGGGGGGGGGGGGGGGGGGGGGGGCGAACTCAACTAGGTTACGAAAAAGAAGTGGTCGAACTTTACGGCTTCTAAAATTGCAGTGACTAGAAAGGCCGTAAGAAGGTCAGATTTATCGACCGGTCAATAATACGGTCAAGTTTTTTTTTTTTTTTTTACTTATAACTAGTCGAATCGCATGCCATAGTTGAAGTATGTACACTATGCAATTAAATTATGGACGAACTTTTTTTGAAATTTTTTTTATATAATGGTGAAAACTTAACTCCTTTTTTTTTAATTTTGAATCACGCTAATGATTTGGTGAACGCTATAAATTTGAATCACGCTATTTGGTCAACGTGGAGTTTATAAAATAGTTGGTCTCAATAATTTTAGTTGTAAAAAAATAAAAATTGTAAAACCGTACCGGAGAATTGTTACGGTGTTTACATCTAAAAATTAATCTCATACTACATCGATTAATTACAAAGGGTTTAATGGTTTTATAAGGTCAGCTCAGTTTTAATCATTAAATGAGCTAGCTGGACCTTATTGGGTTGGACTTTTGGGACAAAGTAGCCAAACTCCTTCTTCCTCGCCTAGGGGGCCGACGACCCCCATGGCCTCGATAGCTGACGCCTCCACTCCATGTAACAAGCCAGTTGGTATGAAATTTGGCTCCTGGAAACAAGGCGTCAAAACAAGGCGTCAAAACAGGGTACCAACTACCAAGCCAACGAAAGAGGCTTGGTAGGCTGAGGGCAAAATAGCTCCCAACCAAGGCGGCAAATCAAGGTGCCAAACGATAGGGTATCAAGCCAACGAAAGACGCATGGTAGGCTGAGGGGAAAATAGGCTTGGTAGGTAAGCAACAGGGTACCAAGCTGATGAGGCAGGCTTCGTCAACTTGCTGGGTACCACGACATGAAAATTGGTTAAGTATGGAGACTAGGCCTACATGACTGGCTTGGTAGAGAGGGGTATTAAGCTAGAGAGATAACAAGGTATCAAGTTGGGTGGTAAGAATGACTTACCAACATAGCAAGGCGTCCACTCCATGTAACAAACTAGTTGGTATGAAATTTGGCTCCCAAAAACTAAGTCTAGAAACAAGGCGGCAAAACAGAGTACCAAGCCAACGAAAGAGGCTTGGTAGGCTGAGGGCAAAATAGCTCCAAAAAAATAAGTCTGGAAACAAGGCGGCAAATCAAGGTGCCAAACGATAGAGTACCAAGCCAACGAAAGAAGTTTGGTAGGCTGAGGGCAAAATAGGCTTGGTAGGTAAGCAACAGGGTACCAAGCCGACGAGGCAGGCTTCGTTGACTTGCTGGGTACCACGACATGAAAATTGGTTAAGTATGGAGACTAGGCCGACATGGCTGG